GAGATGGAAAACAAGATGGAGGCCAGAGGGTGGGCTTGATTATAAGAGGGGGAGGTGAGATTTACATGGTGGTGAGACTGTTGGGAAACCGTTAGGGGAAATTTTCTTTGATTGGGATGATTTGGAAAAGGAAGAGGATTGCAGGATGAACGCGATGGAAAACAAGATGGAGGCCAGAGGGTGGGCTTGACAAGTAAGGGGAGGGAAATTTTTTAGGAAAATGTAGAGCGACCGGGTGATGGACATGTTGAGATGCAGGCCTCCAATCAGTTTAGTTTTGGGGGATCGAGCTGGGCTTGATTTATACGGGGAGGTTGGTTAATCCCACGTCAACATTAGCATGTATGCAGTGACTTTTGGTTTAGATTTTGTGGACTTGGAATTTGCCTTTGGGACTTGCATTTGCCGCGCACAAAAATCAGTGACATGAGTCGGAGATCTTATTAAAACTCCACTTGGCTCGGTCACCCCGAGTCCGATCGACTTCTGGTCTGGATTGGCCGTCATTGGGTCAAAGGGTTCTCACCGTCAGTTCTCAAACTGAATGGAACTGAGGCTCTCCCTGTTGCCAAACAGATCGATCATTTTGGTCCATGTTCACGAAGCTTGTATCAGCACGGTCCTAGAGTGACATCGATCATTTGGCAATTTTTGTCCCTTGGAACATGTCTTTCATACCATTGAGTTCCATGTCGGGGTGGTTCTGCTTCGCATCGATCATCCATTCAGAGCCGAAAGCTACTCCAATTGAGAACTGTTTCGAATGTTTTTGTTTCCGACTTGGTGGGTCATTTTGACTCCAAATCCAGGAGTGTTGATGGAAAGTGTTTCACCCAACACAGCAGTCAATTTTGCGGAAATGCCATGACCCAATAGACAATGAAAACGCCAGATCCAGAGCATATCCAACTTCAACATTTGGTCTCCATCGATAGACTGAACCAGAAGTTTTCATGTTGGTTTGGCCATCAATACGCTTACGATATCCAATGCCTCTATGTTTAATCTAGACACAGTGCTAATCAGAGTACAGCCTTTCATCAGCCCATCTATCAGACGTAGCACTGTGACCCTTCAAATACCCGCGGTCTTGTTTCGTATTTCTAGTTGTCATATAGATTCATATATAGGTCCGGTGTCCTTTTTATGTGTTCCGCCACTGAAGAAAGAAGACGCCGCTCCAAGCTGGTTCACTGGTTCCTTGTCGACTCTTGACTTACATCGATCTTCCAGTTCCGGTTTGCCTTTCAGAAGCCGCTGGTGCCGCATGTGTCGCGCTCATACCAAAACAGGCACCGTCTCGCGTTTTCATTCCCAGGTGCCCTCCAGGTTGAGCGCCATGGGTTTGAACGTCACGGCGGAGCTCGGAGCAGAGGATGGTCTCCTGGAGTGAACCAGAAACATCCAATTCTAATTAAATTCTTATTGTTACTAGTAGTAAGGCACTTGTTTCTAATAGCGTCCTTGTTACTACTAGTAAGGCACTTGTTACTACTAGCGAGGCACTTGTTACTAGTAGCTTCCACCCAAACTAGTAGTAACAGGTGCCACGCTAGTAGTAACAGGTGCCTTACTAGTAGTAACAAGGACGCTATTAGAAACAAGTCAATCGCTACTAGTAAGTTTTCTTTCTTCTCTCCATCCATGACTCTTCTCTTGACTCTTGGTCAAACAATGTGGGTTTTCGTCAAAAAAACTATGACTATAGGCTACAACCACCTCATTTATGTTGACTCTTGATTCATAAACCTCATATATATATATAATATATATATATATTTTTGAAGAGGTTTCTCAATTCAAACCGTGGTGAGGGGGGTATTCATCAAGAGTCTACATTAGCGATCCACAGCTCCACTCTCTCAGGTGCGGTGCCAGGGTCAGGTCCATTCGTACCTTCTCACAGAAGGTACGACTGGATCCCAAGGGAATCAACATCCAGTCCCAGACTCTCCATCCCAGACACGACCTGTCTGGGACTGCCAGGACGGACTGCCGCCCCGGGGATGGTTGACTGGGAGGTCAATTGATCGGCCGTCCTATGGCAGTCCCCAGGATGCGTCTGGGCATGGGGGACTGCCATAGGACGGCCGATCAGTTGGTCGAAGTCGGTGAATGCAGTGGCCATGGAGTGTCGGGGGCCCGTGCCGTGAGGTCATGAGAGGTCAACGGACCATTTTTGTATTGGTCTCCCCATTTGGGTCGCTTCCCTATTGATCCCTGGACCTCTATAACAAGGGTTTGTACCCTCAAAACCCTTGGTTTTTTTTGAGGGTGCGGATCCTTAGGGAAGACTGGACCGGACTGGCGCAGAAAAAGGCGGATCCCGACATCCGAAACATTGATGTAAGGGGGTAAAGATGCAGGTCTTAAACCTCTGAAGGTCTACGAAAGAAAGGGGGATGAACAGGGTAAATCCCCTTCAGCTGGGGCAAGAGGTCATTGTTTTTTGTCTCTGAGGGCTTCACAAGGAAACTAGAATGTAGACTGGGAAATTGCACTTATAGTTCCTAACAACCATTAAGATCCAACGGTACAACTATATGTACTCCAAGTAGAGACCCTTCCCTTTAAAAAGACCTTCCGTTGAGCAGGGACCTGATGGACATATTCAGAGTCGAGCATGCATGTCGGGGGGAAATGCTCGAAAGCAGTGGGGTGCTTAAGAAAAAAGACGTGGCCCAGAACAAACACTCGTATGAGTGTCAGGGGCTTATGTGGTTACAGTTGAGTATCTAAGAAGCGTCAAAGCACTTGCAGTTGGGGTCCACCAAAATCCCAAAAGATAAGTTAGATTTTGTTTGGAACACTTCTTGGCGCAAGGCAATGAAGAGTTTGCGCTGAAAGGCTACGATTGTCAGAGCGACATGTTGGCCTACGCGGAGCTGTGTCCAAAGACCAGTCTGGCCAAGCAGATCCGTCAGTCCTGTGGACAGAAAGCCGTCCAAGCTGTGAAGTGAGTTCATCCAAATCAGCCCAGACGCGAGTGGGACCCACTCGCCGGACCCTCCCGGTCCATTGGTGAGGCACTCCATCCATCCGACCCTCCACACAAGTTGGGGGACCGAAGGTCTCCCAGAGGATTCGGGTGAAGGAAGTGGGCGCGTCTGGGAGTTTCCTTTTGCCTTTCACACACCACCGTTGGTGAGATATGTGTGTGTGCGACCAGCGGGAGACCACTCCGAAACTCGGACCAAAGCGAAGCAAAGATCGAAGGAGCACTGGACAGACTGGTTGCCTTGAAAGAGAGCCCAGGTCGACCTTCCCTCCAACAGATGTTATAGTCTACTCGATGATGCTTCATATGTCTACTCATTTTTCACCTCCCATGTCTTGGTCGTCTTCCCACATCGGTTGGGGCCACCCACATCCACATCACCGTCTGAGCCGCCGCCTCTCGGCTCCGGACCGGTGTGTTTCGGTTCTCTTCGGGGTTCGACGTTTCAGAGAGTTCCCTGTTGGAACTTGGTACTTTTCCAGGTTATAACCAGCGGATGGACAAAAGGGGGAGAATGATACCCAACCATGTTCGAAGCATTGTTAAACCCTTTTAAAAAGCATTCTGAAGTTGGAATTGGTTTCTCCACTGACTGAGCTTCTTAAGCTGTATTTTCCAAATAGGTCTAACTCGGGAGGTCACGGTGGCAAAAGTGGGGGAGTCCGAAGTGACAGAAAGCCTTCGATTCTGAACAGAGGCCTTCTGAGCCAAATGCCAATGCCGATGACCGTACCGCGGTTTGGGATTGAGACACTGTCCAAACTTACAATGTATGGTGGAACCACTTGCAAGGGAAAGTGCGTGGGATAGTCAGTGGCGAAGGAAGACCATGTTGAGCTTAACTGTTTTGACCCTATTGAACTTTCTGAAGTGACTGTCCTAAGTTTTAGCATCAAATCTTGAAATACAACTACTATAGCGCCCGATAAACAGGTCTCCGAGTTCTGGTAGCTGATGGCTGGAGACGACCCTTCAAGCGGCAGATGGTGACCTGTAGAGTCGGGTGCCTGGGTCCTTTCTTCCAAGTCTTTGGTCTCAGAATCGTGACATCGCCAGGTGACGGGCGCGGGCCGCACCGAACGCGGGTTGGCTCGCATGCGGACGCTCGGAGCGTGGAAGTTGCTCACGAAAGTCGGAAAACATAATACAACAGTAAGGATAGATGATATAATGTAAGGATGGAGGGAAGTTTGGGCTGCAAAACACAGGAGTCCGTGGTGGATGATCCAATGGTCGATGGTTCAGTGCATCCAATCGTCCAAGAAGTCTATTCCATTTGGAAACCAGGTTCTTTCATTATGAAAGATCTGAACATTAACATGATATATCTGTTTAAATTTGCAGCTCATGTTCAATTCATCTTGACCATTAATATTATGTTCTATGGCTGCAGGGATCGTAGGGATGGTACGTGCATGTCCATCAACGTGGCGCCCGCATTGGGTTGGGCACGTGAGGAGAGCACGCACCGGGGCATCGGGCTTTGACCGGTGTGGCGACCGGTCTACAGTTCAGCTGGTCCTGGTGGTTCACTGGGTCTATTTGATGAAGTTTTTGTTTGTCGTTCAATCTTCTGGACCGCTTACGTTGGGAAATCTCAATCTCTGCAAACATATCTTAGATTATTGATGCAGTGTTGATGTTTTTGATATGAGCAAAAAACTGGGCAACCTTCTTTGAGATGAACCAGCGTTTTGGACGGCCAACGACTGAACATTCATGCTTGCTTGGTCGAAATACTATCCTAACGCAAATTTTGGGTGTGCGGCGTGTATAAAAAAGAGGGAAACCTCCCAGTTTGACCCCCTGGAAGAAGGGAAATAGACAAGTCTACCCATTGGGTCAGGTCTCCCTATTCAAATAAAAATACGCACCCGAATGTGCTGGGAGAAAACTCCAACAGCTGAAGCTGTGGCATAGCAGAAGTTCCACTTTGGGAGGAGCTTTGCTTGCGATGTTGTGCTCCATGCTTGCCGTAAGAATCCGGTCCCCTGCCGGGGGTCCAAGGATTGTTTAGGGTCTGAAGAAGCTCCTCATCCAGACACGACCCGTCCGGGACTGGCAAACCATTGCAGTCCCATTGGGGTGGTTGAAGAGGGGCCCATGTAGGTATATATTCCAGTTTCATGGAAGTGTTTGGGTCATGATTCTGGTGGCATTGATGCACCGTGACCAGGTGGGCCCAGTTGGATTTCATTACATGGCGCCTTTCACAACGAATAGGAATGGATGGGCGCGCTTCCGTGTCAGTATGATCACACATCGTTATCCTTTAATCTGTGAGTTTCTATGCCCATTCTTTTTGAGCCCAAGGACGAAGCATCTCCCCAAGTCTACACTCAAGATGAGATTCACCACTTTCCCCTGTGAAAGTCGTCCAATCCAATGTTTGTTGCCGTCCACATCGACGCTGAGGAACCGACTAGAGGGTTCGGAGACCAAGCCTGTGGCTGCTAAGGGCCAGGATGACCAGGCGCTACAAATGGACACATTGAAGTACTCTCAGTTTGGGTGGTTGTTGGTCGCAAAACTGAATACTTAAGAAGGGCCACCTTTGAAGGATGGTGATCATTTTAAAGCCATGGCCATGTCATGTCCAAGCCAAAAACCAAGTGCCGTGGAAAGAACCACTGACTGGCTAGGTGTGTACCACCAACCCTTGGCTCAAATGAGAGATTGATGATTTTGACCCCGGTGATTTGTCCATAGAGAGGCATCGATTTAAGATCATTAATACCTGGACCCGACTGACCCAGTACCGAAAATGGGACACCCCTCAAAAACGAGATACGACTGTACCCAAGACTTCGGAGGTACGAACGGGTCGACAGGTACTTTGAGACCCAGGTACTGAGAAGATGGGACATGACCCCAGGTAAGGTCGACTCCAGGTCAATTTAAGATGATCGATGTTTGGGCCCTTTGAGCCTTTGTCGCGATCGTGCACGCCATCGATGCTGGGTCGACCCCCCGACCTGGGCCTGCCCGGTCGATCTGGGACCGTCTCCGTTCGAAGACAGCACATCTCCCCGTGGTCTCCACCAACGAAGAGGGTTTTTCTCAGAGGAAGACGGGAATCGACGGGGGGAAGGAAAGACTATGGTATAGATTCTATCCTACCTTCAAAATGTGACGTGTTTGCCCGCAAAATGGCATCCAACCTAATAGAGATGGCCTCCAACCTCCAAGCGATTTGACCCGTGTTTACCAACATGCTCCAGATCCAATGCTTTCAACATCACCCCCTGTTATCCATGTCCTTTTCATCCATTGACCCCGTCGCGCTGTACTGGACTCTGCTTCTTCCCCGTTTTCGATGTCCCGCGCGCGGGCGGAGTCGCTCCGCGTCGAACGGGACCCCGAACGCTGAGGACCAAGGTGACACAGAAGAACTTCGAGACGCCGGGCTGGAAAGGCACCGTGCGTCGAGTGCGAAAGGACCGGGGGGGGGCTGCCAACGCGCAGTGTCCGGTCCACGATCGAGGACGGGGGACGGTGGTTTTGGGGTGAAAGGCGAAGCGGGCGAAGGTTTTTACAGGTTGGAGTCACATGTCCAATCTCCTCTCACATGGCAGATCACCTTCAGTTTGGCGCATGGGCATACTCTCGCTTCACGTCATTTCTCCAAAAACATCTCCTCCCCGGTCGTCGCTCACCGGTCGTCGCAGTCTCACTCTCCAGGTGGCAAGGGCCGCGAAATCCCCAAGGGCTTTGAGAGCTGGTCCGACTACACCAGGCGAGGCTCCGCCGGCTCCACCGGCTCCGCCCGCGCCCGTGGCTGGGCGATGGGCAGTTCACCGCTTTGGTCCTGTGCAGCAGAAGGGCAGAAGGGCGTGCGCGGGTCCTGGGCACGTCGCCGTGAGACCGGTGCGTGAGATCAAACGGACTAATTATCGGCTACAACTATCCAATTGATGTACCTTAGGGATCTAGTCGTACCTTCTCAGGTACGGAGATTGGAGACACTCTAATGTAGGTTTTGAATGGTTTTGAGGGTCCAAGTACCTTCTGAGAAGGTACTTGGATCCCTAGAATTAGACTCTTGATTCACAAACCCTCCCAGATGACGAGGTGTTCAATTCAAGTGGGGGGTCATACTCCTCAAGAGTCTACATGAGGTGGTCGACACCCTCCCCCACTCGGCGATCCTGCGGAAGAAGGTCCGTGAAGGTCCGTGAACGTTGGGGGCCGACCAGTCAGTTCGAACACACCAGGAGCACCTGACCGACCGAACTTCAGGATTGGTAAACTGACTGAAGTGACCTGAGTGACCTAAGTGACCCAAGGCATCCCAAGTCCCAATAAACCCTAGGCCTAGGCAACTTCTAATAAGACCTCAGTGACCTCATTCAATCTGAAAAGGTGGGAAGGCCCTCTGATCTGCAACGACGTTCGGCAACTCATGCTGCAACGTTCGGCGCCCGTTCCGCGGTCCAACAGCCAACTCGCAGTCATCAACAGGTATGCGCTAGAAGGCATCAAGGTGGGCGGGGGTTGGGGAGGCAGGTCATCACGGCCCAAGTTGAATATGACAGAACCAATAAACCCACCGAAAGTTGGTAAGGATCCAGGATCCCGGTTGATAGAAGATGATACTGTAGAAGAAATCCTACAGGCGGGATACTGGAATATCAATCATTGTAACATGAAACTGACTTCTGATCAAGAAAGGATGCTTCACAGGAATGCTTCCAAAACACTTTTTTGGTATAAGTCCAGCTGAGGTTGATCTGAATATATCTGAAGGGTTTTCTTCCAAGGAAGACACTCAGATCGCCTGCAGAGCACCATCTCGGTCTCCCTCGCAAGAGGTCAACCATCTCAGCGCCCCACTTGAACCATGGGGATGACGGATTACAACCACCCGGATACCATCCCTCCAACAATCCCCTGGAAAGACCATTGCCATCATTTTCCTCTACAAACAGGGGGTAAAGTCCACTTGCATGTTTGTTGAGGCAGGGTACACCCTTTGAAATAATCGTGGAAGTATAAAATGACCCCTTGTATGCTGATGGGTGGAGCGGAAAGCCCACCGGAAAGCCAGACTCGTTCGCTGGCACGAGTGACCAAAACTTTTCCGAATACCAAACAGGTGGCTTTCCACTTCCGTGATTTCTTCAGGGAGTGTACCTCCCAGACACGACCTGTCTGGGACTGGTTCTTCCAAGTGACCCTTTGAGATTCCCCTTAGTTCGGTCACTCGGTCACTGGCGGTCGCCCTTCTCTTGACCAGCGACTTAGATGAGCACACCCCCAGAGAACCTACACTCCGGCGCACACACCACGGCCGGTGGAAGTGGAACCAAAAACTCGGTGAGTGCTTCGTGGGAAGGAAAGTGGTCTTCTGGACCCATCCACCCACCATGTGATGTGTTCGTCAGACGTGTATTTCCCAGACACTCCAGGGGGGTCAAGTGATCGGCAGTCCTATGGCAGTCCCAGACAGGTCGTGTCTGGGTTTGTTCGGTCTGTGGCTTTGAAACCCGTTCAGGCCGCTCGAGACCGGTACCGTTTACCGACCGCCAGGTCAATGGGCCCGTGGGTCCCACTGCTGTGCCTCGGACATCGCTTTCGTCGACGATGGCCGGAGGAGGTGGATTTTTCTCGGTTGGGAAAGACGATGTGATGGAAGAGCAATGAAAAGCACCTCAATAATATAGTCATAGGTCGATCGTGTTTTTTTTAGGTCGGGAATTGTTGGATGGCGTTTTTTGGTCGAGCTGGAATCGATGGTTGTTCTTTTACGCTGAAAGGGTCAAAAATGGTCAACAGCTCCAGGTCTTCCAGGTCCAGGAGTGGTGAGCATCCCTGGGTCCTTCTGGGTGGTTTCATGGTGGCGAACCACATGGCCTGGTCCAGCTTCCGTATACTCTGGCGTGACTCCGGCGTGACTCCGTTTCGACGGACCGGCATGTCCGCGGGACTCCGAGCATTTGACGCGCTTTTTTTTTTTGCACGAGTGGAGGCGCTGTGTGTGCAGGTTGTGCACAAGTCACCTTCCGAGCATTTGACGCGCCGTGACTCGGCGTGACTCGGCCCAGGATCAAGCAAAGAACAAAGACTATCGGCCGACGTCTTTGGTGGACCGTAAGAGGTGGGCCCCCCCGATCCCCCCGCCGTGTTCCCGCGCTTCCCGAGTCGGACGCGCAGTTCGAAAGACGGACGCGCACGGGTTTTGGTTGGTCAGGGTGGCGCAGAGCAGGGTCGTCTGATGGACAAAGTGTTTGGACTTGCCAATTGATTGTAACGCACGGTTCTTGCCGTATTGGTTTCATGGGTGCGACATCGAAACAAGAGTAGGAGTTCACACCAACATGGATCTTGAGGTGCTTAGAGGTGTACATAAAGGCGGAGAAACATTCATGCAGCTCAAGCTATATAGACCCCCAAATGGATAGAAAAGTAGATCCCCACTAAACATGTAATGGAAACCGTTTCTATCTATTTGGGCTTTAAGTATGCAATACTATTCTTTTATACTTTCCTTGGGGGATACCATATGTTTTTGTTTGCATCCTGTCCCGGCGTCTCACGAACTCTTCAACGCATTAAGTATACACGGGCACATTATGAGCACAAATCGCTTGTTCCAATGAATGATAATAGGCACAAAACATACTCTCAACAGCCTGGTTGTCACCAGCAAAAATGCCGGATTTTACGGGTGGTTGGACTTGTTAAACTTTGGATAATGTCAGCACGCCACCTTGTTTGACCAGAAGATGGCCATTGAGTCCAAGAGAAGGTCCTCCAAGACAAGATCCACAAGTACTGTGGGAGCTTCATTTTCATACGGCATCTCTTGGGATGGCAACGCATGGTGTTCGCCAGATGCAAATTCTCCACTGCCTGACAAACACTCGAGATGCCTAATAGTTGCAAGCGGTAAGCAATACCCTGACCTTCCAAGCACCAAGTTTAACTCGGTTGTTGTTCTAAGACCAAGTTTAACTTGGTCGCGAAATCGAGACTATGTTTGACTATCAAAGACCATGTTTCACCAACCACATAAATGGTGCATAAATGACCACTTTCTGCACCAAACCCCTCTTCGCACAGTTTTTTCCTTTCACCTCTCTCTGTTGTTGGTCTCCCTGAACCGCCACTTCAGCGTTCGGAAGCCCACACGAGCTTTCTTCATCACCTCGGTGGCCGTGTTTTGGAAGGGTCATGACAGAATCCAGGCAAAAATCCCGGTCACTCCCTTCAGAGTTTCGATCAAATTAAAGCCGCGTCACCCCACGGCTATTCAAAGATCGGCGGCGCCACTTTTTGAGAAGGGACATCCAGTCCTCGTCACAGAACGTGTGGAAGAAGCGGCTGTTTTGGCCTTGGTTCCAAGGACAGCGAGGCTCCCACAGGGCCATTTTCACACAGGATCCCAGAACTGCCCCACAAAAAGACGGACAAAGTGTGCAGCTGAAGCACGCCCTCTTGCAATGACATCTTGAAGGACATGGGCGAAAGCCTCGCTCAATCACGATGCAATTGCTCGAGCCATGTGTTTGCGGCTCAAAAAATGACCCAGATATCCTCCCCAGTTGTATATGCTAACATGTTGCCAGGGGTTTGGGGGATACCCTACTTTTGAGCCGTAACCATGTCATGTGAAAACCTTGCATCGGGTTTCTGCCGAGCAACATGGTATTTCGGCACAATGATCCACGCCAGCTTGGACATCCTGCCAGTGGTGGGAAAGGAGTTGATACCACTTAAGAATGGGCTGATACAAACAGGAGTTGCAGGTCACCACTATGGGGCAACCATGGACAACCACATTCTAGGTTATTCTTACAGTACGGTGAGTTGACAGACATCATTCTATCTCGATCTCAAGTTCCAGATCCTCAAGCCTAAGACTTAGGCTGTGAGTCAATGATCAACCCATCTAGGGGAATCACTCAGCTATAGGATCCCAGCCTCATACTGAGCAGGTTCAGTTGCAAGTAGCAAGAAAGATATGCTTTGCCAGCTTCCTCCAGCGCATCAGCTTCTGATCGGGTCCTTGGCAGCTGGGATGAAAGCATGCTAGCACTCCAGTCTAGCTTTGCCCTCAAATAAAGAGTTGCACCACGCATTAATTGAAGAGGGGTACTGTACCACAGTACTGAGTTACTGCACTGCAGGTAGTGGTGTTCATTTCATGTTTCACTAAAGCCCAGCCATGGTGGTGCCAAGTGGCAGGAACCGCGAGGCTCTCTCACTGAGCGCGAAGAATCTGCATATGCCTCTCCTGGGTGCAACATCGATTCTGGCTTGGATGCTAGTGGGCACCCCTTTTTGCGGTGGACAGGGACCTTTACAGCACAAGAACTCGGTACATTGGTATTGGACAATGGAGGGTCCCACATTCATGACCCAAAAGTTCATATACTGAGTACTGCAATAGCGACCTTCCAAAGTGTCCAAATGGGCGTTCATGTACGTACACTGTACATTAGAACCCTTCCAACCGAACACCCCAGCGAGGTAAATGTTGAGATGAACGAACCAGGCCACACTGCACTCATATCCATTTTTGATCGCTCCACATGCATGCACTAGCATGCCGTTTACATTTGCCTCCCGAATTAGCATGTCTTCATCGAAATATACCTTGCTACCCCAAACGCATAGGCACACAGCAGGTGCATGGTTCAAGTCCCTTGACCCCGTTGCGTTTGCTTATGTGGTAGCATGTGCGATCTAGATGCCAACACTTGCCATTCTGTGCAACATACACTCTAGGGTATGGTGCGTTGCCATCCTTTTGACGGCCATCCACCGTTTGTTGATCATTGCTTTTCCCACATGTACAGCTCACTTTATCACATTGACCCTTCAGCAGAAGATTCATGTTCTCTCGCCTCAAGTCTTGAATCGTTGCTTCCAACTGAAGAGACTTGCTGCGCTCAGCCTCCAGCATTCGGTGGAGCTCCCCGTGTGAAATCTTTTCTTTCACTGCTGTGGAGCCCCCAAAATGTGTGAGCATGAAGGCACTGCACAGTTTGTAGCACCCAAGGGTAAGAGCAACTGTGACAAGCAGCACGCTACAAAGAAGCAGATCTCCAAAGTCCATGGCAACGAGTGGTAGTGAAATCATGCGTCCAAGATCTATTAGCTTAGTCAGGGAGCTTGGGCCAGAGAAGCACCATCACTTGCTTTTCTTACCCTGGAACTGACGACTGACACTCACATGCAACCAAGCTTCAAACAGGCCTCCACAAGCAATGCACGGCAGTCGCGATGTTGGTACTCTGCAGAGCTGTTGACAATGCTCATAGTCTCCATCAGCCACTGGGTCACGACACGTTGGTTGTACCCCTTGCAGTTAAGAAAGTAGCCGTATGTTGTCTCCCGGACTAGTGACTTTTCATTGAATCGTCGTTGGCTGCATGAAATTTTGTTTGTTTTCCTCCATGATACGAAATGGTTGTACGCCCTGTCCAGCGCGTCAGTGTACCCATTTGCCACACTTCCAAAGTACTCCATATCCAGGAGCATACCCCTTAGCAGGGCTAGGCTAGACATTCATATGTTCCACATGCCAATCAACCTAACGAAGGCAATGTTACAGTAGATCTGCTGATACCGATACCCCAAATCGAAAATACACAAATAGGCTGCACATTGACACTAGTTCCAAATCGAGTTGCAGGGTACTCCCGCTGGATATTGCAAGGAGGCCCAGGTTCAATATGTGCAACGTGCACGGTCGCAGCATCGAGACTTCGAAAAAATGTAGCTGGACCAATGGGCCTGATATTGAACACTGCGTGCGAAACACAAGCAAAGGGCATCAAAGAAGCACGAAAGAAAACCGTGCGTGCATGCATGCACAAAAATGGAAAGGATCTACTTAATGGCTGCCTAAGAACACTGTTGGTCGCTTGGTAGCTCATTCACAATGAATTGTTCGGTGGTGTAGATAGTTGAAGGCCACCTGTTTGGTTCATTTGCACTGTACTTGGTATAGTCCAGCTCAGGAATGTCGGTACACGCTTTGCATCTAAAGCATATTTTCTTGCTAGTCCAATATGATTTGTGCTGCAGAAGTATTTTCATAAACGCTTGGTCACCTCTGATCTCTGTCAAGATGAAGCGCCGCCCAGCAACCCCGCTGGACGTCAATGTGTTCAGGCTCTCCACAATCCTTTCTAAGATCGGCCACACTGTCTCTGTAAAAGAGGATATTTGGTCTGAATCCAAGTTGAATAAAATGAATCGTGACAACCTGGTGGCTGTTGGTCGCCACAGCGGGAAACTCAAGTTCATCCCGAAGACTTTGCAACCTGGGTTGCACTGCAAATTAATTTGCGCCTCGTCCCCGTATATGCAGAGAGGGATCACTGGAAGCCCTGAATGTTCACGAAATGATTTGGTCGCCAGAGCAATCGGGTCTCTGACACTTTCCAAGTGAGCCCAGTACTGGCAAATGCGTTGGTCATTGAGGGGAAGCTGGCACTCTCCAACCAAATGCTCGACAAGAACATGCGGAAGAATCAAGGGCACTACAATCTCACCATGTTTGCCATTTGGCATCTGCCAACCGTTGTAACCTCAACAGGCTCCTTGGAAAGGCCAAGTTGGCAAGTTGAGATCGTTTTGTTTGAAACGCTATACACACTCATGCAGTACACCATTCATGGATTCACACGTGCACATGTCTCCTGAATGCATGCAGGGTGCTGCAGGGAGCTTTATATTGCGATAGAGATCGCGCAATGCATTCTTCCCACGTTTGTAGTTAGCAAGCTTTGCAGTCCAGGTGGTTGTGTGGCCCTTCGCTTCCTTATTTATTCTTGAGGTTGAGTGCATCTTGAATGCAAATATAGTATGTAAACTGTGTACTCCACACTATAGTAAGCTAAGATGCTGCATGGGTGGCCCGGGCCGATCGCATTGCAGACAAAGCACTGCATTCCTGAGCACATGTTTTTGTAATGGAACCTAAGCCTAGTCACAGAAAACACTCAACCAACACGGATGTAGACCGATTGTATGTTTGCACTATTTTGCAACGAACTACACAGGTGGTGCTACATGCAAAGTTCTGACAAGCCTCTCCTGAAGCCACTCGCTCTAGTGTATCCCTTTCAAACGGGCCAGCCTCAA